ATGAAATTTGAGAAAGATCCATCCAGTACTTTCCAAGAAATAGCAGTAACAAATTTTTACTTCCAAAATCCAAGATGGCTGCCTGTCGGCCATCTTGAATTCGAATCAGTCCAAAAAAGGTACAAAGCACAACTAGGGACCAAGGGGAAACTGCATATGAAATTTGAGAAAGATCCATCCAGTACTTTCCAAGAAATAGCAGTAACGAACTTTTACTTCCAAAATCCAAGATGGCTGCCTGTCGGCCATCTTGAATTCGAATCAGTCCAAAAAAGGTACAATGCACAACTAAGGACAAAGGGGAAACTGCATATGAAATTTGAGAAAGATCCATCCAGTACTTTCTCAGAAATAGCGGTAACAATCTTTTACTTCCAAAATCCAAGATGGCCACCTGTCGGCCATCTTGAATTCATATCAGTCCAAAAAAGGTACAATGCACAACTAGGGACAAGGGGAACCTGCATATGAAATTTGAGAAAGATCCATCCAGTACGTTTCCAGAAATTGCGGTAACAAACTTTTACTTCCAAAATCCAAGATGGCCACCTGTCGGCCATCTTGAATGCGAAACAGTTCAAAAAAGGTACAATGCACAACTAGGGACCAAGGGGAACCTGCATATGAAATTTGAGAAAGATCCATCCAGTACTTTTCCAGAAATAGCGGTAACAAGAATTGTTTACGGACGGACGGACGGACCACGGACCACGGACGGCAGGGCGATTTGAATACCACACCATCTGATGATGGTGGGCTAAAAAGTCAGTCATATTAAGCTAAACAAAGGAACATTGCTTTTTCAATAACATACAATGACATCTGAATGTAGCAAATCATTCTTGTATTACAATGCTGCAGCCTCCAGGCTTAAAATATATCTAATAGTCTGCATTTCACACAAATAACAAATTGTCTAGGATTTTTTCCATCCAATACAGGAAGATAAAGTTCCTCACTTTTCAAGTCAGAATAAATGAAATATAAACAAGAGATCCCAGAGGGATCTTGGCGCCCACGATTTGAGGATCTATTTTCAGTTCTTGAAGATTTGTTTATTTTTGTTTGTTTGTTACAGGTGTTGTAAATGTACTCAATGATGGCACAAGATATTTTTATTAAGCACTTATTAGCAAATATCATTTGAAAAAGATCCCAAAGTATTATTAGATAGCAGTCAGTTACAGGTGGATAATGGACAATATGTTTATGCTGTATTACTGTCGACATCCAAGATGGCGGCCTGTGGGCCACCTTGATTTCAAATCAATCCAAAAAAGGTACAATGCACAACTAGGGACCAAGGGAAACCAATATCTATGAAATATCAGAAGGATCCATCCAGTACTTCCTCATATATAGCAGTAACAAGATTTTACTCTCAAAATCCAAGATGGCTGCCTGTCGGCCATCTTGAATTCAAATCAGTCCAAAAAAAGGTACAATGCACAACTAGGGACCAAGGGAAACCTGCATATGAAATTTGAGAAAGATCCATCCAGTACTTTTCCAGAAATAGCGGTAACAAGAATTGTTTACGGACGGACGGACCACGGACCACGGATGCAGGGCGATTTGAATACCCCACCATCTGATGATGGTGGGCTAAAAATCCGACCAGAATAAAGACATGCTGACAAATGGTATACGAAGATTATGAGTAAAGCAACAGAGGCTTCATCTCGATTGTCATGAGGATAAACATGAACTCATCTAAAATGAGATGATTTAAGACACTGGCTCAAAACTGTCAGTTTACATGATCAGTATAGACAGTCCTGATTCACAACTGACAATTCTCATGATCAGTATAGGTAGTCCTGGTTCACAACTGACAATTCAGATGATCACTATAGGTAGTCCTGGTTCTCAATTGTCAGTTCACATGATCAGTATAGATAGTCCTGGTTCACATCTGTCAGTTCACATGATCAGTATAGATAGTCCTGGTTCACAACTCTCAGTTCACATGATCAGTATAGATAGTCCTGGTTCACATCTGTCAGTTCACATAAACAGTATAGATAGTCCTGGTTCACAACTCTCAGTTCACATGATCAGTATAGATAGTCCTGGTTCACAACTCTCAGTTCACATGATCAGTATAGATAGTCCTGGTTCACAACTCTCAGTTCACATGATCAGTATAGATAGTCCTGGTTCACAACTCTCAGTTCACATGATCAGTATAGATAGTCCTGGTTCACAACTCTCAGTTCACATGATCAGTATAGATAGTCCTGGTTCACAACTCTCAGTTCACATGATCAGTATAGATAGTCCTGGTTCACAACTGTCAGTTCACATGATCAGTATAGATAGTCATGGTTCACAACTGTCAGTTCACATGATCAGTATAGATAGTCATGCTTCACAACTGTCAGTTCACATGATCAGTATAGATAGTCCTGGTTCACAACTGCCAGTTCACATGATCAGTATAGATAGTCCTGGTTCACAACTCTCAGTTCACATGATCAGTATAGATAGTCCTGGTTCACAACTCTCAGTTCACATGATCAGTATAGATAGTCCTGGTTCACAACTCTCAGTTCACATGATCAGTATAGATAGTCCTGGTTCACAACTCTCAGTTCACATGATCAGTATAGATAGTCCTGGTTCACAACTGTCAGTTCACATGATCAGTATAGATAGTCCTGGTTCACAACTCTCAGTTCACATGATCAGTATAGATAGTCCTGGTTCACAACTCTCAGTTCACATGATCAGTATAGATAGTCCTGGTTCACAACTGTCAGTTCACATGATCAGTATAGATAGTCCTGGTTCACAACTGTCAGTTCACATGATCAGTATAGATAGTCATGGTTCACAACTGTCAGTTCACATGATCAGTATAGATAGTCATGCTTCACAACTGTCAGTTCACATGATCAGTATAGATAGCCCTGGTTCACAACTGCCAGTTCACATGATCAGTATAGATAGTCCTGGTTCACAACTCTCAGTTCACATGATCAGTATAGATAGTCCTGGTTCACAACTCTCAGTTCACATGATCAGTATAGATAGTCATGTTCACAACTCTCAGTTCACATGATCAGTATAGATAGTCCTGGTTCACAACTCTCAGTTCACATGATCAGTATAGATAGTCCTGGTTCACAACTCTCAGTTCACATGATCAGTATAGATAGTCATGTTCACAACTCTCAGTTCACATGATCAGTATAGATAGTCCTGGTTCACAACTCTCAGTTCACATGATCAGTATAGATAGTCCTGGTTCACAACTCTCAGTTCACATGATCAGTATAGATAGTCCTGGTTCACAACTCTCAGTACACATGATAAGTATATATAGTCCTGGTTCACAACTGTCAGATCACAAGATCAGTATAGATAGACATGGTTCACAACTGTCAGTTCACATGATCAGTATAGATAGTCCTGGTTCACAACTGTCAGTTCACATGATCAGTATAGATAGTCATGGTTCATAACTGTCAGTTCACATGATCAGTATAGATAGTCATGCTTCACAACTGTCAGTTCACATGATCAGTATAGATAGCCCTGGTTCACAACTGCCAGTTCACATGATCAGTATAGATAGTCCTGGTTCACAACTCTCAGTTCACATGATCAGTATAGATAGTCCTGGTTCACAACTCTCAGTTCACATGATCAGTATAGATAGTCCTGGTTCACAACTCTCAGTTCACATGATCAGTATAGATAGTCCTGGTTCACAACTCTCAGTTCACATGATCAGTATAGATAGTCATGTTCACAACTCTCAGTTCACATGATCAGTATAGATAGTCATGCTTCACAACTGTCAGTTCACATGATCAGTATAGATAGCCCTGGTTCACAACTGCCAGTTCACATGATCAGTATAGATAGTCCTGGTTCACAACTCTCAGTTCACATGATCAGTATAGATAGTCCTGGTTCACAACTCTCAGTTCACATGATCAGTATAGATAGTCCTGGTTCACAACTCTCAGTTCACATGATCAGTATAGATAGTCCTGGTTCACAACTCTCAGTTCACATGATCAGTATAGATAGTCATGTTCACAACTCTCAGTTCACATGATCAGTATAGATAGTCCTGGTTCACAACTCTCAGTTCACATGATCAGTATAGATAGTCCTGGTTCACAACTCTCAGTTCACATGATCAGTATAGATAGTCCTGGTTCACAACTCTCAGTTCACATGATCAGTATAGATAGTCCTGGTTCACAACTCTCAGTTCACATGATCAATATAGATAGTCCTGGTTCACAACTCTCAGTTCACATGATCAGTATAGATAGTCCTGGTTCACAACTCTCAGTTCACATGATCAGTATAGATAGTCCTGGTTCACAACTCTCAGTTCACATGATCAGTATAGATAGTCCTGGTTCACAACTCTCAGTTCACATGATCAGTATAGATAGTCATGGTTCACAACTCTCAGTTCACATGATCAGTATAGATAGTCCTGGTTCACAACTCTCAGTTCACATGATCAGTATAGATAGTCCTGGTTCACAGTTCACATGATCAGTAAAGACAGTCCTGGTTCACAACTGTCAGTTCACATGATCAGTATAGATAGTCCTGGTTCACAACTCTCAGTTCACATGATCAGTATAGATAGTCATGGTTCACAACTATCAGTTCACATGATCAGTAAAGACAGTTCTGGTTTTCAACTGTCATTTCAGGTGAATAGTATGGACATTTTGGTATGGTTCTTAACTGTCAGTTTAAATAGTCAATTAAGGCAGTCTTTGTTCTCAACTGTCAGGATTCATTCTATAATTTCGGACAATGTTGGATCAATGATGCCCTTTGGGACACCGCAGCAGCACTTGGGACAGTTTTGAACTCTGATGGATTGTTAGAAACATTTTGGAACATAAATGAAGCACTTGGGACACGATTCAGTCAAGCAATGTCATAAATCTTCTGATTAGGTACATAGCAACAGACATTTTGTGTTACATGCATGACAAACAACATTTAAAGATACTCACGATTGCCAGCATTTGGAGTGGTGATGTTGGCTGAGTCCGCAGGCCCCTCCCCATCACTATTCCATGCAGATACAGTGATGTTGTACAATTGCGAGGACTGCAGTTGCCGGAGCATCCATGATGTCACATTACCAGATACTTCACAATTCACCTTATGTAAGCTTGGATGGTTGACAGGGTCAAGGTTCAGTCGGTAGCCCAAAATTCGTCCGTTGGTGAAGACTGGAGGTTTCCAAGAGATGGTGATGACAGAGGGGGTAGGGGCTGACACATCCAGGATATAGGGGGCTGATGATGGTGCTTTAAATCAATCAATATATGTACATTTAGAACAATATTGATATTCAAAATCAGGATGTGAATGAAAAAGCTAATAAGTTTACATCTAAAATTATGTTCTTATGTCTTGTACAAATTAAGACGGAAATCACAAGTCAGTAAAATCACTCTAGATCTTGCTTCCCATTACAATGTTTTTCTAGTTCAACCATCCATCTATATTTTGACATCGTTTTTGATCAATTCTAATTTTCCTTGATCACCTCTAAGGTTTCAAAATTTAGGCTGTTAACGTCACTGACGAGTCCTAGAAGGACAAAACATCTGTATGATACCGTTTAATTCATTATTTGATCCTACTTTATCTAATTCTAAATTTCTGTTGAAAGGTGCTATTTACTTGTGTGCCTTTTGTACAATGTTATGAGGAATCTTGGAAGTCAAAAATGTTGATAATGTAGGGCTGAAACAAACACTCCAGGGAAATGTTGTAAATTATTATGGTAAGCAGAGCAAAAGAGATAGCAGGAAAACAGAGACTCTGAAGATACACAAAACTAATATATGTGATGTTTACTCGTTTGTTATATACTTTATCCCTTACATCTGACTTTGGACATCGTTACTCAAACTACTTATCAGGCTCACTGAAGCCTGGCCTCCAGTGCCTCTACCCTGCCTACATGATAATGAAGCTGCACTGTTATCCCGCCACCTCAGTACAGAGGGGACACAAATGTACTTTACAAACACCTTGGAAATGAGCTATCCATCATTCAACAAATACTATTCTATTGCAAAAAGTTGTTCTAACAAAAATAAAGGAGTTTCAGATTCCAGTTGCTGTGAATGATGTTTCAGATGCTGGGAGACAGCCTTGTAAACATGGTCTGATTTGATTAGGGTAGGAATTATTCATGTATCATTTAGAATGAAGTTTTATGTGTAGCTACATCACAGCTATGATTGTATCTAGGAACTGAAGCTCCTGTGGTGACCAACTGGCACTCACTCTTTTACAAAACTCAAATATGAGATTCAACTTGTGACAGTACGTTTTGAGAAAAAAAAATCTGAGTGTTGCAAGGATTAAGAATGTGAGACAATTTTGAGCAACGACTGATGACAACACAGTCATGTCAACAGGTACAATTAAAACCTAAAATCTTTAGAAATGAAATATACAGTGTACAAAGTACATATCACCATAGTCCTAAGACACCTGATGTGTTGGTACTGTCACCATAGTCCCGAGACACCAGATGTGTTGGTACTGTCACCATAGTCCCAAGACAACTGATGTGTTGGTACTGTCACCATAGTTCCGAGACACCTGAAGTGTTGGTACAATCACCATAGTTCCGAGACACCTGATGTGTTGGTACTGTCACCATATTTCCGAGACACCTGATGTGTTGGTACTGTAACCATAGTCCCGAGACACCTGATGTGTTGATACTGTCACCATAGTCCCGAGACACCTGATGTGTTGGTACTGTCACCATAGTCCGGAGACACCAGATGTGTTGGTACTGTCACCATAGTCTCGAGACACCTAATGTGTTGGTACTGTCACCATAGTCCCGAGACACCTGATGTGTTGGTACTGTCACCATAGTCCCAAGACACCTGATGTGCTGGTTCTGTCACCATAGTCCCGAGACACCTGATGTGTTGGTACTGTCACCATAGTCCCGAGACACCTGATGTGTTGGTACTGTCACCATAGTCCGGAGACACCAGATGTGTTGGTACTGTCACCATAGTCTCGAGACACCTAATGTGTTGGTACTGTCACCATAGTCCCAAGACACCTGATGTGTTGGTACTGTCACCATAGTCCCGAGACACCTGATGTGTTGGTACTGTCACCATAGTCCCGAGACACCTGATGTGTTGGTACTGTCACCATAGTCCCAAGACACCTGATGTGCTGGTTCTGTCACCATAGTCCCGAGACACCTGATGTGTTGGTACTGTCAATATGGTGAATGTAAACATTGAAGGTGACCTTGACTTTCTGATTACAGTCTCCTGAAGAACCTGATTTGTTTGTATTGTCACTATGGTGATTACAAAAAAACATTGAAGGTGACCTTGAGTACATGATTACAGTCCCCTATGCCACCTGACGTGTTTGTACTGTCACTATGATGAACACACAGACACTTAAGGTGACCTTGAGTACATGATTACAGTCCCCTGTGCCACCTGACGTGTTTGTACTGTCACTATGATGAACACACAGACATCGAAGGTGACCTTGACTTCCTAATTACAGTCCCCTGAGCCACCTGACATGTTTGTACTGTCACTTTGGTGAAAACAAAAAACATTGAAGTTGACCTTGCCTACCTAATTACTGTCTGCACTCCTAGAGACACCATTTGTGTTGGTACAGTCACTAAAGTGTACACACAAACATTGAAGGTGACCTTGACTACCTGATTACAGTCCCCCAACCCCCACCTGAGACACTTGATTAAAACATTCTTAGGGTACCATTTTGGACAATTAATGTATTCTTCTACAATCAAATCCTCCTTGCTGCCCCCCTCCAGCATTCTTTGTCTCTACAGGTGGTGTAGGTATATAAACACTAAAGGGACTGCTGTTATGTGAGGCTGTAGGAAAGGGAGAATTACTTTAGCCTGTTTTAATCTGGTTTCAGTAATGAAGATTGACAGCTAACCTGACAACTAACACTGTCCACCAGGGACACATTCTCCACTGGTGTGTTTACCAGTAAGGAAACAATGAATCTCTCCAGTACTGCAGAATCATCAGTCTAGCTAGAATTAGGCTGGTGTTCACCAATACATCTACCCTGATTATCATTTATTACTGCTGGTACTTGGATTATTTAACAAGAAAGTTTCACAATCCTGAGGTACAATCAAACACAGAATTATAAACCAGGAGACTCTGTTAATGTATCTTTCTAATGGCAGTGTGTCACCAGACAAAGTGTTTAGTATCGCCATGTGCCAGAGATCTATGGGGACAGTAAGCTGTGATGTCTGTCTGGTTGGTTAGGAGGTGAAGGGGGAGGGGGAAGGGCATTGGCTGAAGAGAAAAGACCAGAGACAGACATGAAGATCCATTCTGTCTATCAATGTGGCTCTCCAATATCTCTCCAACAATCCTATGTAGTAGAAGACAGGGCAATTTAGATGCAACAGCTAATATTCCCACTCCTCTCCTTTCAATTTATCAATGGAAAAGATTCAAGATAAAAGTGTGCCAGACTTATGATGTCTTTCAGAAAATATCGGTTGTTCTCAATGACAGCAATAAAATGTCACAAACAGCCATCATCCTTATAATATTCATTGAAGCCTCTCTCTTGTAAAAGTCACTGACAACCATCTTTTTTGTAATAGCCAATGACAGCCTCTTCCTTGTAATAGCCAATGACAGCCTCTTCCTTGTAATAGCCACTGAGAGCCTCTTCCTTGTCAAAGTCATTGACAGCCATCTTCTTTGTCAAAGTCATTGACAGCCATCTTCTTTGTCAAAGTCATTGACAGCATCTTTCTTGTCAATGTCACTGACAGCTATCTTCCTTGTCAAAGTCACTGACAGCAATCTTCTTTTTCAAAGTCACTGACAGCCATCTTCTTTGTCAAAGTCATCTTCCTTGTAACAGTCATTGACAGCCTCTTTCTTGTCAATGTCATTGACAGCCTCTTTCTTGTAATAATAATTGAAAGCTATCTTCCTTGTCAAAGTCATTGACAGCAATCTTCCTTGTAACAGTCATTGACAGCCATCTTCCTTGTAACAGACATTGACAGCAATCTTCCTTGTAACAGTCATTGACAGCCATCTTCCTTGTAACAGTCATTGACAGCCATCTTCCTTGTAACAGACATTGACAGCCATCCTCCTTGTAACAGTCATTGACAGCCATCTTCCTTGTAACAGTCATTGACAGCCATCTTCCTTGTAACAGTCATTGACAGCCATCTTCCTTGTAACAGTCATTGACAGCCATCTTCCTTGTAACAGACATTGACAGCCATCTTCCTTGTAACAGACATTGACAGCCATCTTCCTTGTAACAGTTATTGACAGCCATCCTCCTTGTAACAGACATTGACAGCCATCCTCCTTACAGGATCACTGACTCACTGTCATCATCTCTATCATGGCTGTTCACACAGCTTATCATGTTTAATCAGACAGACAACAAATGGATTATTGTTGCAGCACTGTTGAGTGTTTTGACCAGCGGCTTAGGGTACACTACATATGACACCTATATGACATCTGTAATACCTCCTCCATCCAGTCTGGTTGGATAAATCATGGTGTGTACTGGTCATATCTGGCATGCTATCAGATGGTCAAACCACACCATGCCAGTCGGCATAAGCATACATGAAGGACAAGTGTCAAAGTTGTCTGGGTCTGATCAGTACTTAATACAAGTCTGCTTCAAACAAATGACTTGTTTAATTGGACATGAAAACCTAATGACACACAGTTGTTTTTCAGTTTTGAGACTTGAATGGATTGGTGTATGAGGTTGCATGTTGATGAGGTAGCCTTCAAGATGGAAAAGGAATAGGTTTCCTTATCTTGACAAAAATACTTAGGAAAGTGAGTGTTGACATCAATCTTGATAATGCTGCTCTCCTACTGTGTCTGAATGTTTTTCGGAGCAGGCTGCTAAAATATTCAACTACAAGTCAAAGTGATCTGCAACTACAAGCGACTGAGATTTGTGACTACAGGCCACAGTGATCTGTGCCTACACGCCTCAGTGATCTGTGCCTGCAGGGCTCAGTGATCTGTGCCAAAAAGGGCTCAGTGATCTGTGACTACAGGCTACAGTGATCTGTGCCTACAGGGCTCAGTGATCTATGACTACAGAGTTCAGTGATCTGTGATGAAAGGGCTCAGTGATCTGTGACTACAGGCCACAGTGATCTCTGCCTACAGGGCTCAGTGATCTGTGATGAAAGGGCTCAGTGATCTGTGACTTAAGTGCTCAGTGATCTGTGACTACAGGGCTCAGTGATCTGTGAAAACAGGCAACAGTGATCTGTGCCTGCAGGGCTCAGTGATCTGTGTCTACAAGGCTCAGTGATCTGTGACTACAGGGCTCAGTGATCTATGACTACAGGGCTGAGTGATCTTTGACTATAGGGCTCAGTGATCTGTGACAACAGGACTCAGTGATCTGTGACTACAGGCCACAGCAATCTGCAACTACAAGCGACGGTGATTTGTGACTACAGGTCACTGTTTTCTGCGACTACAGGCCAGAGTGATTTTTTATGTTTACATTGCATAGTGATCTGTTACTATCAGCAACCATGCTTTGTGACTAAAAGCCACAACGATATGTGACTACAGGCTACAGCAATCTATGATGACAATATCTTTGTGAAAGGGTTTTAAGACTGCCAGATTTTTCTACATCACTGTATAAACACTGACAGCCCCTATAGAGATCTTCCCCATCTCTGCTGCTGGCTGATCCTTCATAATGTTACTGAATACATCAGCTGACAAAACAATTTTTATTTCATGACGGGAAATGCCAATATTTTTTGATGATAGGATATTATTGAATACAAATGATCTAGAAGGCAAACATCTCAGAGAACCATTTTGAACGAATAATTGAAATTAAATTGGTGGAAAAGTGGTAGCAAATTAGCGCGAGTGTAATCCCAAGAGACAAACAAAAGACATTCATGTAGTTCCAATACAGGCCACCAATCAGAATATCTGTGTTCATAAAATGAATAATTCAGACTGGATCTAAGGTATATAGCTGTAGCTGATACATTAAATTGTGCTTTGTACATGTTAAAGTGTTAGATAGCTGTTGGAAATCTGTCAGTGACACAACGCTTGATAACCTGATGTATCATCACAACCCTCGACAACAAGATGTATAATCACAACCCTCTACAACCTGATGTATCATCACAACCCTTGACAACAAGATGTATCATCACCACCTTCGACAACAAGATGTATCATCACAACCCTTGACAACATGATGTATCATCACAACCCTTGACAACAAGATGTATCATCACAACCCTTGACAACAAGATGTATCATCACCACCCTAGACAACAAGATGTATCATCACAACCCTTGACAACAAGATGTATCATCACCACCCTAGACAAAAAGATGTATCATCACAACCCTTGACAACAAGATGTATCATCACCACCCTAGACAACAAGATGTATCATCACAACCCTTGACAACAAGATGTATCATCACAACCCTTGACAACAAGATGTATCATCACCACCCTAGACAACAAGATGTATGATCACAACCCTCAACAACAAGATGTATCATCACAACCCTTGACAACAAGATGTATCATCACAACCCTTGACAACAAGATGTATCATCACCACCCTTGACAACAAGATGTATCATCACCACCCTAGACAACAAGATGTATCATCACAACCCTTGACAACAAGATGTATCATCACAACCCTTGACAACAAGATGTATCATCACAACTCTTGACAACAAGATGTATCATCACAACCCTTGACAACAAGATGTAACATCACAACCCTCAACAACAAGATGTATCATCACAACCCTCTACAACCTGATGTATCATCACAACCCTCAACAAGATGTATCATCACAACCCTTGACAACAAGATGTATCATCACGACCCTTGACAACAAGATGTATCATCACCATCCTAGACAAGATGTATCATCACAACCCTTGACAACAAGATATATCATCACCATCCTAGACAAGATGTATCATCACAACCCTGGACAACAAGATGTATCATCACAACCCTCAACAACAAGATGTATCATCACAACCCTTGACACAAAAATCTCCTGGTATACTGTAATATGAATTTCTATCTGAAAAGATGTAGTTTGTATACTAAAGGTTGACGAAGCAGGCATGTTACTATCTTGGAATGGAATATTTATATATATTATAGCAATTAAATAAACAAGCTTTCAGTCATCTCTCTTTAGAAGTAAATATTATGATAAACTAGGTGACATACCAAACTAGTGTGTGTACAAATCTCCAGCAGAAAAGACATCACTCTGTATCGATGAAAGACTGTCAACATTTCAATGACTCATTTCTAATAACCTCAGCCAAGATGTATAAAAAATAGTAAAATTCCTAAAAATCACTTTTGTTTTGCTTTCTCCACCTTAAGCTGTCACTATGGCTATTGAACTGTGCAACCAAATCCCTTTAAAACCCTTTGTGTACCATATTACATGTCACGCACCATTGATGCTTTTGGTCTGTTGACACACAGCATGTAATCTTACCAAATAGCTAAAAGCCTTCAAAGCATTGACTGTCGATCTCTATGTAAAAAGCAACTAAGCTTCCAACCAGGATCAGACTTAAATATTTGATTCAATAAACCAAAGATGAGACAAAAGTGCATGTACTTTGTTCAATGCTGTCATAAACTGGTCACATGATCTATTAGAATGAATCTGATGTTCATTTACAATATGGTGTTAATTTGATTCATTCAACATGTAGGTTAGGCTGGGATGCACTTCCCCTGCAAAATCATGACAACCTGACAAGTAGCTTACCTCCATAAGGACTGGTTGTAATCTCTTCAGACTCTGGCGTGGCACTCATATGTGCTGGAGTAATCACCAACAAAATCTTGAACTAGAAAATAGAAATATTTGAATAGTAAATAATTATGAATAGTATAAGAGACCTTCTTATCTGATGAATAATACTATCGTGATTGTACACCACTACAACAGGTGTCTGTAATATTTTATATAGTCCCCAACAACAGGTGTCATAGTGTGTAACATTTTATATAGTCCCCAACAACAGGTGTACTAGTATAACATTTTATAAAGTCCCCAACAACAGTTGTACTAGTGTAACATTTTATATAGTCCCCAACAACAGTTGTCATAGTGTAACATTTTATATAGTCCCCAACAACAGTTGTACTAGTGTAACATTTTATAAAGTCCCAAACAACAGTTTTCATAGTGTAACATTTTATATAGTCCCCAACAACAGTTTTCATAGTGTAACATTTTATATAGTCCCCAACAACAGTTGTACTAGTGTAACATTTTATAAAGTCCCCAACAACAGTTGTACTAGTGTAACATTTTATATAGTCCCCAACAACAGTTGTACTAGTGTAACATTTTATATAGTCCCCAACAACAGTTGTACTAGTGTAACATTTTATATAGTCCCCAACAACAGTTGTACTAGTGTAACATTTTATATAGTCCCCAACAACAGTTGTACTATTGTAACATTTTATATAGTCCCCAACAACAGTTGTACTAGTGTAACATTTTATATAGTCCCCAACAACAGTTGTACTAGTGTAACATTTTATATAGTCCCCAACAACAGTTGTACTAGTGTAACATTTTATATAGTCCCCAACAACAGTTTTCATAGTGTAACATTTTATATAGTCCCCAACAACAGTTGTACTAGTGTAACATTTTATATAGTCCCCAACAACAGTTGTACTAGTGTAACATTTTATATAGTCCCCAACAAGTTGCCATAGTGTAACATTTTATATAGTCCCCAACAACAGTTGTACTAGTGTAACATTTTATAAAGTCCCCAACAACAGTTGTACTAGTGTAACATTTTATAAAGTCCCAAACAACAGTTTTCATAGTGTAACATTTTATATAGTCCCCAACAACAGTTTTCATAGTGTAACATTTTATATAGTCCCCAACAACAGTTGTACTAGTGTAACATTTTATAAAGTCCCCAACAACAGTTGTACTAGTGTAACATTTTATAAAGTCCCCAACAAGTTGCCATAGTGTAACATTTTATATAGTCCCCAACAACAGTTGTCATAGTGTAACATTTTATAAAGTCCCCAACAACAGTTGTCATAGTGTAACATTTTATAAAGTCCCCAACAACAGTTGTACTAGTGTAACATTTTATATAGTCCCCAACAACAGTTGCCATAGTGTAACATTTTATGTAGTCCCCAACAAGTTGCCATAGTGTAACATTTTATATAGTCCCCAACAACAGTTGTCATAGTGTAACATTTTATAAAGTCCCCAACAAGTTGCCATAGTGTAACATTTTATATAGTCCCCAACAACAGTTGTACTAGTGTAACATTTTATATAGTCCCCAACAACAGTTGTACTAGTGTAACATTTTATATAGTCCCCAACAACAGTTGCCATAGTGTAACATTTTATGTAGTCCCCAACAACAGTTTTAAAAACACAGCAATATTTGATACAATAACCTACAACAGCGACCACCCATGGTCATTTAAGGTTAAAATTAGTCACATCTACGAAGCATCAAACACCAAACATTACATTTTTATGATCAGGAAATGTTACTAATGAGAATTGTAGGAGAAAGATTTAAAGGAGGAAGACAAATGTTTTATATGTGTTCAGTGTTAGCAGCTTCTTCAATTGTAGAAGCTTGACGCAGGATTGTATTTCAATAGCGTTATATGATGTATGAACCCTATCCAAGCACTACAGTGAATTTAACCACTCTAGTGAATTGCGCTCAAAACACAAACTTTAGGCAGGATATTATTTCTGAGAATCCACTTGTCACTGATTATTCTTTTGTTTTAGAAACTGCTATTCTGTAAAAGTGAAATAATGTCTTTTTCAATTAAGAAGCCACAAATTTCAGCAATTTTTCTAAAACTAATCAAAAGACTATGCCAGCAATCTCTCAGATAATTAAGTGTAATGACTCTGGTAAAATTGTGGCTGAACAAACTTGAGATTTTTTAGTTAGGATTACAATGATGGTGTTTAGTTCCTGCAATATACCCTATGCTATTAAAGATATTGTTTCCAAAAGTTGTTTTCTAGGTTCAGCTGATTGTGTTGCCATGATGGTGAACTGTGAGAGGTGAGGGCTGATTGATGACAGAAGATTGCAGTGCTGTCATAACACATCACTACTAGTTTAAGGAATCGTCTTGTAATCAATACTGAGTCACGTGACCGGTGTTTAAACAAGAGGCGAACCAAGGTGATGAAATTATTCAGGCACAAAGATTGCTGGTTCAATAACCTATGGAAAGTCCCACACTGGGAGTGAAAAGAAGGATGGAAGGTGGAGTTCGGTAGCGGTGAGGAGAAAGATGACGATCATCATTTGTGCTCTAGCCACGTTGTTTCGCTTTCACAAAAAAACTAAAAATTTGCTTTTCTGTTCTCCTTTGTAGCAATTTTATTAAATTGATAAAAACCCAATGTCATAATGAAGCTTTGACACTTTGTAACAGAGGTCATTATTTGTTCCAATGCCTCTTTTGGGAATTGAACCCAGAGCCCTCTGGTTTAAGTCTGACACTGATTGAGCTCTAGAGAATTTCTCTCTAGGCAAGCAGTACAGTGTGGCTAGTATTTACCAGGGCTTCAGCTTCCTGTTCTTACATCTCTTATTTTCAAAACACTAGTGAAATATGTTCATGTTATTTACAGTAAGCTTCATTTTAGCATATTGGCTGACCCTAAGCCACCTGAAGCTTGGTATGACAATCACACCTGATTGCGGAGGACAGAATTTCTTATTTAGTGATCCATTGATCCGTGGGAGCCTGAACATCTTCAATGACCAACTGACCTTGGGAGTCATACTTTCTCCAGTAACCCACTCTGATATTTGGGAGTCATACTTTCTCCAGTAACCCACTCTGATATTTGGGAGTCATGCTTTCTCCAGTAACCCACTCTGATATTTGGGAGTCATACTTTCTCCAGTTACTCACTCTGATATTTGGGAGTCATGCTTTCTCCAGTAACCCACTCTGATATTTGGGAGTCATACTTTCTCCAGTAACCCACTCTGATATTTGGGAGTCATACTTTCTTCAGTAACCCACTCTGATATTTGGGAGTCATACTTTCTCCAGTCACTCACTCTGATATTTGGGAGTCATATATTCTCCAGTAACCCACGCTGATATTTGGGAGTCATACTTTCTCCAGTTACTCACTCTGATATTTGGGAGTCATACTTTCTCCAGTAACCCACTCTGATATTTGGGAATCATACTTTCTCCAGTAACCCACTCTGATATTTGGGAGTCATAATTTCTCCAGTTACCCACTCTGATATTTGGGAGTCATACTTTCTCAAGTTACCCACTCTGATATTTGGGAGTCATACTTTCTCCAGTAACCCACTCTGATATTTGGAAGTCATACTTTCTCCAGTTACCCACTCTGATATTTGGAAGTCATACTTTCTCCAGTAACCCACTTTCTGCTTGGACCCACTCTAATCTTTAGAGTCAGTCTTTCTGCAGTGTCCTGATCATTTGGGTCAGAATTTCTCCATTGACTTGCTTTAATCTTTAGAAACCTGCCTTTATCCACAGACCCACTAACCTGTCTCAAACTGAATTTTCCTTCGACAAATCACCTGCCACCTTAACCATGCATCAATGATTTCCATCAACAATAACTTGGCAGAAGCCCACAATGTTAAACATTTGGTCATGAAACATTGATTTGTAAGATAAAAATTAAATGGAGTTTGTATATGTACTGTATGTAAATGTCATTCCTGTGTTGGAATGTCTTGTTTATTCACATATTAGCTGTTAAGCTTCACTAAAGAACGTAAAATGGTTTGACAGATTGCTTTTTCCAATGCCAAGATAAACTTTTTTTATCGTACTGTAATGGAATCTTAGCATATTGATTTTTCTCAAAAAGACAAAAAGTGAACACATTTCTTTAAAAAAAAAACATCTTCAAAGATCAAATGTACATGTAACTATATTTCATGCTTAAAGTGGTGATGGTTTTGGAAGGACTATGAAGTAATCTTCCAACATGCTGAGGCTGTGATGACCCCATGGCTCCAGAATGGATTCCTGCCATGCTATTACCAAATATATGTCACATTTTATATTACAGCTGTGGTTTGGAGTCATACTCTACAGACATGCTGTCATTATAATCGGACATTACTGTAACTATTACGTCCCTATGACGACCTGCTTGCGTGTGCCTCTGACTAGAAATGTAAACAGGTGTGTAATGAGTAAATGTGGTCCAATATTACACTTGGTTCTGTAATTAGGGGGCGTGGTAATGATCAGCTAGGGTAGGCTTCCCATGCATAATAAACAGATATGGAGCATCCCTCAGATTAGTGTTAATTGACCAGAGAAACCCCAGTAATCTTGTTGAATAGCATTTCTGTTTAAATACCAGTCCAAACAACACAATAATATCCTAGTAATACTTGGGGACAACTTGTCTGAGTGGAGTTAAAAAACACAGCATTGAAACACATTAGAGTGTGAATCCCCTTACACTGTCACAGCTGTATAGAGTGTGGGGCACCTCATACTGTCACAGCAGTAAAAAGTATGGGGCACCTCATACTGTCACAGCTGTATAGAGTGTGGGTCACCTCATTAACACTGTCACAGCTGTAAAAAGTGTGGGTCACCTCATACTGTCACAGCAGTAAAAAGTATGGGGCATCTCATTAACACTGTCACAGCTGAAAAAAGTGTGGGTCACCTCATTAACACTGTCACAGCTGTAAAAAGTGTGGGGCTCCTCATACTGTCACAGCTGTAAAAAGTGTGGGGCACCTCATTAACACTGTCACAGCTATATAGAGGACACCTTTGTTACACTGTCATGGCTATATAGAGGACACCTTTTTCACACTGTCACAGCTGTATAGAGGTCACAGCTATATAGAGGACACCTTTGTTACACTGTCATGGCTATATAGAGGACACCTTTGTTACACTGTCATGGCTGTATAGAGGACACCTTTGTTACACTGTCATGGCTATCTAGAGGACACCTTTGTTACACTGTCATGGCTATATAGAGGACACCTTTGTTACACTGTCATGGCTATCTAGAGGACACCTTTGTTACACTGTCATGGCTGTATAGAGGACACCTTTGTTACACTGTCATGGCTATATAGAGGACACCTTTGTTACACTGTTATGGCTATGTAGAGGACACCTTTGTTACACTGTCACGGCTATATAGAGGACACCTTTGTTACACTGTCACGGCTGTATAGAGGACACCTTTGTTACACTGTCATGGCTATCTAGAGGTCACCTTTGTTACACTGTCATGGCTATGTAGAGGACACCTTTGTTACACTGTCACGGCTATATAGAGGACACCTTTGTTACACTGTTTGTTACACTGTCATGGTAGAGGACACCTTTGTTACACTGTCTATATAGAGGACACCTTTGTTACACTGTCACAGCTATATAGAGGACACCTTTGTTACACTGTCACGGCTATATAGAGGACACCTTTGTTACACTGTCCCAGCTATATAGAGGACACCTTTGTTACACTGTCACGGCTGTATAGAGGACACCTTTGTTACACTGTCATGGCTATGTAGAGGACACCTTTGTTACACTGTCATGGCTATATAGAGGACACCTTTGTTACACTGTCACGGCTATATAGAGGACACCTTTGTTACACTGTCCCAGCTATATAGAGGACACCTTTGTTACACTGTCACAGCTATATAGAGGACACCTTTGTTACACTGTTACAGCTGTATTAAGATCAAAAGACACCCATGCTACTTTATATGGACATAAATTTGTCATAGAAACTTAAACCCTGAAAGCTATAAGTATTATTCTCAATTTGCCTTCTGTTCTTAATGATAGCAAAAATAAACTACTTTATTCAGCAGTATGTTATTTACAACATGGTAACAAAAACATAACAAATGTATTTTAATAGCATCTTAGCTGCCATTGCACTTATATGTCATACATAGGTGTGGCACATGCCAGCTCTGTAGACCACATCTGTTGTATGTGACTGCTAATGAGAATGTATAGGCCCTACTACCATACCCTTGTCTCAGACTCTTAATAAGGTTTCAATGCAAAGATATCTCACCATGATTTACAATACCACAGAACTGTCACAGCTCAAAAGACATTTTACAAATCGTCAGAAGAAAAACCCAAATGCTTCTCTTACCTCACTAGGGAGCAAAAACCAATCTTATCATTAGGAGGAATTGTTGAGAAGCTACATACCAAATGATTGTTTGTCTAGTAAAAAGTATTGTCTCCATACCAATGAATTGTCTGCCTGGTAAAGAATATTGTCTCCGTACCGTAAAGAATATTGTCTCTGCACCAATAAATTGTCTCTCTGTTAAAGAATATTGTCTCCGTACCAAATGTCTCTCTGTTTGGAAAAATTTATTGTCTCTGTACCGAATCACTGTTGGGTGAAAAATATAGGTATCTAGCTGTGCAATATTTTGCTTTTCTTGGATCCTAAGTCATTGTGTTCTTGCTTAGATTGAAAGTCATAGAAAAAGTGTTCACTTTGTGGGTAACTTTGGAATAAGATGTTTACTTTGAGAGTTAACTTGGAATAAAGTGCTTACTTTGTCGGTAACTTTGGAATAAGGTGTTTACTCTGTAGGTAACTATGGAATAAAGTGCTTACTTTGTATGTGACATATGGATGGAGCCCTGTAATGTTGATGTCACCTCCAGGTTCCAGAGATGACTGGTTGTAAATTTCCCAGTCAGTGTTGAAGTCTGTGATACGACTCTGTATATAGTAGGTGATGTTAGGGTGAGTCGGCCCATCCCAGTGAAGAACCACTGATGAGTGAGTTTTACTGCCATGCTTCAGTTCTGGGGCTGATAGAGATGACCAGTTGGCTAAAACAGACAAAATATTCATCATTCATCATTATATTTAATAAGTTAAATTCTTCCTCGTGTTTTATAATAAAACATTATAGCACTTAACTTAGATTAACATTATCTCTACATATTCAACACAGCATCACCATTCTTGGATTAGTATTGTGGAGCATCAGCAATGACAGAGTTAAAACTCATGATTAGCACTGATAGTTACTATTCAGCAGCACTATTAGAATTGCATTATATGCATAAGCATTTTACAGATTCATTGGAGGGATTATGTTATCAACATTGATAGAGGGATTCTTGGATTAGCACTGATACAGGGGTTCTTGGTTTAGCACTGATAGTGGGATTATAGAATTACCACTGATACAGGGGTTCTTGGTTAAGCACTGATAGTGGGATTATAGAATTACCATTGATAGAGGGATTCTTGGATTAGCACTGATAGTGGGATTATAGAATTACCATTGATAGAGGGATTCTTAGATTAGCACTGATAGTGGGATTATAGAATTACCATTGATAGAGGGATTCTTGGATTAGCACTGATAGTGGGATTATAGAATTACCATTGATAGAGGGATTCTTGGATTAGCACTGATAGTGGGATTATAGAATTACCATTGATAGAGGGATTCTTGCACTCAATTACTTTGGATTAGCATAGCAGGACAATATTTAGTTAAGATGATAACTGTGGACAGGCACAAATCATCTCAGTAGCCAAGTTACTGTAAAACTATCATCTTGGTTAGGGCTTACGGCAAATTGGCTGTAAACAGAATGGATTGTTTCAAGATATCAAAACATCCAATAAGCTTTACTATTTAGTAAACACAGAGAAAACAGAAAACAAGCTAGCTCTTAACACAGACTTGTCTAATGAAGTATGAATATGTGCTCAAGCAATGATAAAAGATGTTACTGTGCATTGCAGCATGTAACTCAGCTTCATAACCAAAGCTATATAAACCAGATGGATGCCCACGCAGCACGATGGACGTGCAGTGTGAAGACTCCTGCATTCGAAACCAATCACAACACACTGCCTAGTAAAAATCAATATCAGTGCCCAAAACAATTTTGATCATGTTGGAAATGAGACACTTTTATATTAACCATGCGATATTGAAATCAATTCATAGTGAGACCTCAGAAGACAGTGATGTCGGACAAGTCTTGGATGGGTTATAACATCTTTCTAAGGATAATCAAGAAACTAGACCAATATTCTTGGGTTAAAAGCCAATTTGTTATCAGATCATACACCAGAAATTGTGTTATCTATCCTCTATAATGACAATTGGTGCTCTGTAAGCCCTTGCCCTTTATGGTATTACACTTCATGATTGAAAGTTTATCACAGTACTTAAATCAATATAATCAATACTCGTGGAGAACAGGTGGTGTACCTATCGTGGTGTACCTATAGTGGTGTACCTATAGTGGTTTACCGATGTAGTGATGGTGTACCTATAGTGGTGTACCTGTAGTGGTGTACCTAAAGTGGTGTACCTATAGTGGTGTACCTATAGTGGTGTACCGATGTAGTGATGGTGTACCTATAGTGGTGTACCGATGTAGTGATGGTGTACCTGTAGTGGTGTACCTATAGTGGTGTACCTATAGTGGTGTACCGATGTAGTGATGGTGTACCTATAGTAGTGTACCTATAGTGGTGTACCTGTAGTGGTGTACCTATAGTGGTGTACCAATGTAGTGATGGTGTACCTATAGTGGTGTACCTATAGTGGTGTACCGATGTAGTGATGGTGTACCTATAGTGGTGTACCGATGTAGTGATGGTGTACCTGTAGTGGTGTACCGATGTAGTGATGGTGTACCTATAGTGGTGTACCTATAGTGGTGTACCTGTGTAGTGATGGTGTACCTATAGTGGTGTACCGATGTAGTGATGGTGTACCTGTAGTGGTGTACCTATAGTGGTGTACCTATAGTGGTGTACCGATGTAGTGATGGTGTACCTATAGTGGTGTACCTATAGTGGTGTACCTGTAGTGGTGTACCTGTGTAGTGATGGTGTACCTATAGTGGTGTACCGATGTAGTGATGGTGTACCAGTAGTGGTGTACCTATAGTGGTGTACTGATGTAGTGATGGTGTACCTATAGTGGTGTACCTATAGTGGTGTACCTGTAGTGGTGTACCGATGTAGTGATGGTGTACCTATAGTGGTGTATCTATAGTGGTGTACCGATGTAGTGATGGTGTACCTGTAGTGGTGTACCTATAGTGGTGTACCTATAGTGGTGTACTGATGTAGTGATGGTGTACCTATAGTGGTGTATCTATAGTGGTGTACCTGTAGTGGTGTACCGATGTAGTGATGGTGTACTTATAGTGGTGTACCTATAGTGGTGTACTGATGTAGTGGTGTACCGATGTAGTGATGGTGTACTTATAGTGGTGTACCTATAGTGGTGTACCGATGTAGTGATGGTGTACCTGTAGTGGTGTACCTATAGTGGTGTACCTATAGTGGTGTGCCTGTGTAGTGATGGTGTGCCTGTGTAGTGATGGTGTGCCTGTGTAGTGATGGTGTACCTGTGTAGTGATGGTGTACCTGTGTAGTGATAGTGTACCTGTGTAGTGATGGTGTGCCTGTGTAGTGATGGTGTGCCTGTGTAGTGATGGTGTACCTGTGTAGTGATGGTGTGCCTGTAGTGGTGTACTTGTGCAAAATAATTCAAAATTTAGGAAAGAAATCTGGTTATCTCTGGTTTGAAGCCAGTCAGTGTACCATACTACTACAAACACCAGTTTCTACAAATGCTTGGTTCCATTGTTATACATATGTAGCTGCCAGTAGAATGATGGACCTGACTTAATTCCAGATCCAAATGACAGCGTACATGTTCCAGAAAGTAAAGCAAGTTCATTTCATGTCTGTATCTTTATTCTGTATAGACAGAACCAGGAGATCAGTTGGACTTTTGAATCTCCTGGGAGCAGGTCTTCCGGCTCCCTATGGCATACATTGTATAACACTAATTATATACAGTCCTCACGGCCAAGCACCTGCTCATTGGAAACACTTTAAAAGACTGCAGTCCGAGGACCAAGAGATGAAGTTGGGAAGGTGTGAGACAGTTCAGGAGGTGTTGTCTACCACACTTCCACTACACAGTTACTACTAACAACTTCACCTTACAGACTTAATTAAATACTCTGGTTTAATATTTTACAATATTTGTATTGTACACTTCCTAGGACAATAGATGTGTCATTTCAGTGGTGTGGTTTTTTTAAGGCCATAGTAGAATTGTTTTTTGTTATTCTGCAGAGTTATTACATTTATAACAAAGAAAATTCTATTTTCACAGTGGTTTGATATGTTTGTGGATATCTCTGTCTACAGACTGTCCATGTCTAGAATCAGCTATGTTTTCTGTCTAAGCTACAATGACCAGGTTATAGAGTAAAACAGCTAAAATGACTGATAGAAGCATAAAAGTAAACATCTTCTCTTCAAAACTCTCCATCCTGATTTCCTAATTGAAACGACATACAGATTTAGAAAGAAGGCCTATTACCAAATGAATAACAGATCATGTGCACATAATCTCACTATATCCTGGAGCCCCTCCCTTCTCATCCATCAGCCTGAAAACAATCACTAATTACACAAACTTATGCCACTAAAGCTACCGTTACATTTAGACTGGATTTGAAAGAGGTGAGGAGAGAGCAGTGTAAATAGAAGGGGCTTTACCTTAGTTGGAGTGAAAAGCATCCCTATGTATAGGGAAAAAATCCTATCACATGTCATCCTTATCAAGCAAACCACTATTTTCTCATATCTCCTGGGCAATCAGTCATTGGAATGTTGACAGAGTGGAGCTTTAAACCTCACAAGTATACTCACTAACTACTGACACTATCAAAGCAACCTTACACTTCACCATAATACCATGACACCCCACTAAAGCTTTTACAGCATCATGACACCCCACGAAAGCTTTTACAACACCATGACACCCCACTTAAGCTTTCACAGCACAATGACACCCCACTAAAGCTTTTACAACACCATGACACCCCACTTAAGCTTTCACAGCACCATGACACCCCACTAAAGCTTTTACAACACCATGACACCCCACTTAAGCTTTCACAGCACCATGACACCCCACTAAAGCTTTCACAACACCATGACACCCCACGAAAGCTTTTACAACACCATGACACCCCACTTAGGCTTTCACAGTACATGACACCACACTAAAGCTTTTACAGCACCATTACACCCAACAAAAGCTTTTACAACACCATGACACCCTACTTAAGCTTTCACAGCACCATGACACCCCACTAAAGCTTTCACAGCACCATGACACCCCACTAAAGCTTTCACAGCACATACAGAATGTCCTATCATCTTAAATGTGACAGAGAAATAAGAAGAAACTCACTTAAACAAATCTGTTGCATAATCTAACAATAATAACAAAAATATACATCACTGAACACCATAATATGTTCTATTTCTTATCAATAACCAAGAGCCTGTGTAACTAGAAGGCAAAAGGAACAGAGGCGATCTTTGAATGTAATGGGTTCTGAACTCATTACTTCAGCATTATGAGATCCATGTATAAGAGATATGATAAATGTAGCTGAAATTTGTTCTGTTACTAAAATGTCTTGAAAATAATTATTTCTGAAGTGTGGAAAAGCAACTCCAGCCAAGATTTACATGTCTGTGATGATGTTGAGCCAGAAGGACTAATTGGGAGACAAACAACAAGTGTCAGCCATTCTGAACTCATTAGCATTGGTATAATGCTACCCAGCTTAACACTCCCCAAAAACATACAAAAGCTTGATGCATTTAAAAAAAATTAATTCCTTTTAAATCTCACCCAAAATGCATTATTTTTCCGTAAGCCATTTATGTCCTAGAAAGTGAAGAGCCTTTTAGGAAGAGTGTGGGTGGATACAAGGAAATGATAACAATGTGACACTAACCTTTAATGTTTCTGGTGTAGATTCCTAAGGCTGTGTTGCATCCTTTCATACAAAATTGTCTCTGAAAAATAAAAAAAAAGAAATTTCATCATGATATTTAAAGATGAATACAACAGGCAAATTTTATCATAAAAGTCAGTCTGTAGATGATATTCACTTACAACAAACTATAATCTATCTCTTTATTTGTAGACAATCTATAATTTTTAGCAATTTACACAGCAAATCAACATTCCTCAGAGGATTCTCAAGACAAACATAATTGTTAGTGAAGAAAACAGATTGGTCAAAGGGGCTGAACATTCAAATGAAATTTTATTTCTGTGAAGAATATTTTATTGTCGAGATCTTGATGACAAAATGAACTGGGCAACAGACATGTTCTAGGAAAGGCATCTCCATACCATAACAAACAAGTATACAGACACATCAATAAAATACTCATTAAATTATAGAACGATATTAAATGAATAACACTGAAACTGGAACATAAAAATCTAGAATAAATTTTTAACAAATATATTGATTAACAACTTAATTGATTAATTAATTAACTAAAAGGAAACACTACCACTACTTATCAATAATGAGTGAAAATTTCTTTATCATGATGTAAAAATTACCCCCTTAATTGAGGCAGGCAGACTCAAACAGTCCATACAATGCACAATCCTGTGCCTGCTCAATAAAGTTAACAAGCAGACCTAATCTTGAGACAATATTGGTATATTAATGAATGAAAAATCAAATTTACTTAAGAGAAACCTCCAGTATCAGTAGTGAATCTCTGAATTTACATGATTTATTCATATCTGCATAAAGTGTTTGAGATCCCTCAAGAGTGTTTAGAGATAAAGAATCATTAAGAGTAGAGAAATAGTGAAAGATGTGCTGTCAATAGACAGTAGAGGTCAACAAACAGTAGAGGTCAATAGACAGTAGAGGTCAACAGACAGTAGAGGTCAACAGACGATTCAAGTCAGCAGACAATAGATGTCAATTCTACTATTATTGTCTTGGCTTTAGCATGTATTGCTAAGTTCAATGATTCTAATTCTTTAATTTTTAATTACTGTAGCCGTGACAAATGAATAACACTGCAGCCTGACAATTGGCTTAGCTGATGTTCAGGTTACAACCAATTTAAAGGTCAGACCAAACTTACCGTAGCAATTTGATGTTAGAACTTTGACAGTATAATGAGAGTATGATGGGTACAGATGCAGCACTGGGGATCATTGTCTGATGCTGTAGTAACACACTTTGTACAAATGTTCCAGGGACACTCCAATGGATCCTTAACATGTCAACTTTACTGCACATTACCAAATTATGACATTTTATTAAACTTAAAATTCATTGGAAACATACTAGTCCAGAAGGATATAAGACAACCAGCTGACAGGCACTGACACACCTTCGATGTCTAACACACCTGTGTAACTTACCTAACCTTTGTAAAGAGAGGGTATAAGTTAACAGCACTACACTCGCCTGTGTCAGAGTTAGTGTATGATGGGATAATGGTGACAATTAACTATCCTGATGACGACTGTTTCTCTGGAGCTGAGAACTAGGACGAACATCCATCATATCAATCCACAATGATAGCATTCAAATTTTTCATACAAAGTAAACGACCAATTACACCAGGTCCTATCCATTCTGGTGCAATTATGTGCATGTAATTGTCAAACTGCACCTACTGTGGTATAGAGCTAGACTGCTGACCTCTAACGACCTTCAGAAGCCAGGTCATCATGTTCATTTTGTCACATCTGTCTTTCAAAAACAAATACATTAACACCTGTTATTTATCTTTAATATAATAATACACAATTGTCAAGACTGTAGAAGTATCTACATTACAAAAAATTGTGTCTACCTCTGATCAGAAAAAGGCTGTAACGTGTCTTAGACTGTTTGTTGTCTACAATGGATCATAGTCAAACTGTATAGTGTCTTCATTTGAAGTGTCTACATTTAATCACAGTTAATCTATATAGTCTACATTTGGCAATAGTTAGACTGCAGGGTGTCTACATTTGATCATAGGAAGACTGCATGGTGTCTACATTTGATCATAGGAAGACTGCATGGTGTCTACATTTGATCACAGTAAGGCTGCATGGTGTCTATATTTGATCATAGGAAGACTGCATGGTGTCTACATTTAATTATAGGAAGACTGCATGGTGTCTACATTTAATCACAGTAAGGCTGCATGGTGTCTACATTTAATCATAGGAAGACTGCATGGTGTCTACATTTAATCACAGTAAGGCTGCATGGTGTCTACATTTAATCACAGTAAGGCTGCATGGTGTCTACATTTAATCACAGTAAGGCTGCATGGTGTCTACATTTAATCATAGGAAGACTGCATGGTGTCTACATTTAATCACAGTAAGGCTGCATGGAGTCTTCATTTAATCATAGGAAGACTGCATGGTGTCTATATTTGATCATAGGAAGACTGCATGGTGTCTACATTTAATCACAGTAAGGCTGCATGGTGTCTACATTTAATTATAGGAAGACTGCATGGTGTCTACATTTAATCACAGTAAGGCTGCATGGTGTCTACATTTAATCACAGTAAGGCTGCATGGTGTCTACATTTAATCATAGGAAGACTGCATGGTGTCTACATTTAATCACAGTAAGGCTGCATGGAGTCTTCATTTAATCATAGGAAGACCGTGCTGTGCCTATATTTGATAAAAGTAAGACTCTATTGTCTGTATTTTGCTCATAGTAACAGTGTATTGTGCCAACTTTTGATCATATTAAGACTTTAAGGTGTCTATTTTTAATCATAGTAAAATTGTGTCAGCTAATCATAGTAAGACTAGTAAGATTGTATGGTGTCTACATTTGATCAAAGCAAGTCCTCTATGTACACCAGAATACCACACTGACTGTGTGACTGTAGCTAACTGGGAGCTACCAGCATTTTGACGTGGGTACAGGTGTGTATTTGTCAGTCTGACATGCATATCATTGTGCATCTATGTCAAGGTTGTACCCTACTTGTACTTGCTGTCAAGTCTCACCTTGACCTTTGGTCTTTATGTCTTAAGTACAAGCTTGATTTAGGAAGTCTTTTGCGATGATAAGTATAAAAAACAATTGAAGACTGGTGTATACATGAATTAAAACAATGAAATAAACCTGTATTTATCATACTTAAGTGCGATGTTTATTGACTACCACATAGTATATATCGGCCTTCACAACATCAAACAGATCTTATTAAAATATCATCAGTTGGACAAAGCTACGAGAAAGCAACATCATCATGTTCTAGTACTATAAACATGTTTTATTCTGATGTTTTGTTTATTCACTAACATTAAACGAAAGCTTGATATAAAGAAATGTATGATAAGAAGGATGTTAGCCAGGCGGATTTTTACTCCTTGAAATAGGAAAGTGTAACCACAGCTATCTCAGCAATGTCAGTAAACATCATTTTGAATTAAAACTAATATTCAGTCACATTTTTATAAAAAGTAGTTTCTTGGGCGTTACATATCCGACTGTCTTGTTTTTGTTAAAACCATCGCTATATTCTGAAAATTTCCTATCAGATGGCTCTGACTAAACATAAAATAAAGTGTGTTTGTATTACCCAATAAAATCCACACAACTTTATTGAATTGAAATAAACCAAAACCATTTATGGCTTCAATTGGAAAGGAAAATCTACACATGATACTTATCTTAACATCCAAATTAAATCTCCTTTTACACTGATATGATACATGTAATTTGTGAAAGAACTATCCGCCAGGTTTAATGTCATCCAAACTTAATAGCTAAGTAGTTTTATAGCATTTTTATTTCTCATTTGATTGTTTGATTGTTTCCAATGTAATCCCGTACAAACCGACAGACTATCAAATCACTGGAATCATCTAAAACCACACTTTTGATTTGTACAAGAACACAGGAGTGGTGTGGAATGCTTTTCTCTTATCTCCACACATTTTTTAATCAATATAATCTAAAATGTCTAAAACCATGATATGTATCACATTCATCTTAATTCATTTAAGCAATTTATTGAAAATGATAGTCTTAAAATAAGACTTTGATCTGACCTGATTAATTGATTTAGAGTTATCTCCCCTCACTGTCACAAAGCAGACATCTGCATAAACCACAGAATACTAATCAGTTTGCCAAAGTGACAACTTTTAAAGAGAGACAGATAAAAACAAACAATTTAATTACAAACTTTCATCAGAATGAAGCGATCATGTCTAAACTGTAAGATATAACCCTGACAAGATTTGTCAACTTATTTTGTTAAGGGATACAACTCCAATAAAATGGACCCCATTGTAAGAGAAAATCAGGACCAAATATTTTGAAGGGTGATGGCATTCAAAAGATTTCAAGAAAAGTATGGGTAGGTGTGGGGATAAGAATTTTCTGTATTTTTGTCTGGGTATGATTGGCAAGATAACTTTGTAAAAGAGGTCAGTCTTTACTGCCAGTATCTAACCTTCTATTGATGGTACTTTGTCAGGATAAATTATCAGTGTCATTTAAAATGAAATAAATCTGAATTATCTTGATAGGCAAATGCTGGATCCTGGATCCAGCAATTTATGTCCGGTTTGGTACATATTGTCCATCATGGCAACTTCATGTTAAAGTGGTGTGTCAGCAAGGTGTGTCCAGTTTGATCATTTTTGAGTCCATGTGATGTTTTGGGTGTGATAGTCCTGTATCCTATTGGACTTGGACAAAGCCTTTTACAGAAGTGTATATAAGCTGTAAACAACTCCAAACCCTGCAGTGAAAGTGATACCCCAATTAATCCCAACCACTTCCTGCCCCCAATATCAAACAGTATTACTAATCCATCTAATGCCATCCCATTGCTGGTAGCCGAGCCAGCTACATATGTACTAATGCAAGACAAGCTAAATGCTGAGACACTAACAAGCATGGCACCAGAATCCCACAAAAAAACCCTAGAAATATGGAAAAAACTCTACTACTTAAAATATTTGTCTCTCACATGAGAAGTCAGTCAGCCCCACCATA